CCCGCCGCCTCCGCCGGGCCCCGGTGGCGGCGCAAGGGACGCTGGGGCGCTCGGGTCTGCCACCTGCCGGCGGGAGCCCCCTGTAAACGGAGCCGTTTACCCCCCGGAACAGGTTCGAGCCTCGGGGGGACTCGGAGGGATGAGTTGGGGGCAGCAGGGCCGGGCACCGTCAGACCTGCGAGGGCCCCCCTTCTGGGGTGACACCCCCACCTCTGGGGTGACACCCCCCTCGGGGCTGCCCTCCCCTCTCCCTGCAAGCAGGATGTTCCCTGCAGCCAGGTGGGTTGGTTGGTGGGGTTTTTTTTGGGGGGGACGGGGTTGTCAGGGGAGACCCCAGCGCCATGCCAGGGTCTGGCCATCCTGAGTGCCACAGCCCATATCCTACACACAGGCTGCTGCATGGAGGTGCTGCCGGGGCTGCCTCGCTTCTGGTTGTACCCCCCAAAATGGCAGGAGGTTCCGCCACCCCGCGGGAAGGAGGGGTGCTCCTCTGTGGGCTGGGCAGGCCCTGCCATGGTCCCGGCAGCAGCTGTGCCCCCACGCCGTGGTGAAGGGCCTCTCCCAGGGGACCCTCCCTGCAGCCCCAACACGCCCTCCTTGAGCAGCCATCAAGGAGGGCACAGCCAGGCGGTGGGATTTGGTCTCATCCTGTCTGTGTTTGGACATCCCCGTCTGTGTCTGGCCTCGCTGCTCGGCGAGTGACCCCAGCTCATGTTGCAAGCCCCGTGCCCCAGCCCAGCCCAGCAAGGCACCTGCTTTTCTGGTCAAACCTGGCTTCAGCGTCGGGGAATGTGGGTGTGATGGTGCGAGCACAGGTTGCCTTTCCCCAGCAGCTCCTGGCGCTTGCAGCCTGATCCTGCTCTGCTCCCCGAGCCTGCCGGCACCTTCAAGAAGCAAAGCAGGAGGAGGAAAGAGAGAAGCTGCAGCTGAGCAGGGGCCGAGAAGTGCAGCTCTACAGGGACCCCAAATTCCTGCACTGTCCATCCCCTCACCAAAAGGACCGAGCTAGCGTGCAGCAAGGGAGCTGGGGAACAAAAATGGGCGAGGGAAGGTTTCGTAGAGGCAAGAGACATTTTCCCGAACTGTGTGTTTGTTTGTGCTCAGGTCAGAGCCTTCCCAGCCCTGGAGAGGTGCTGCTGAGGAGCTGCTTACTTTGGCCTCACCCAAGAGGCCTTAGCCCAGGGTAGAGCAGCCCTGAACACTGCCCTGTTTGTGCTTTGGGAAGGGGCGTTCATGGCCATCCTGCCATGGTGGGAGCAGGCAAAAGAGCTGATGGTTGTTTTCCCCGCAGAGCCCTCACACGTTTCCCTTCGCACAGGCAGAAGCCAGACAGCACTTGCCACGAGGGACTCTCCAAGCAAGACCCCACCTCATCCAGATACGTGCAGAGCAGCAGGTAACCCCCACACTGCTGATGTGCCTTTGGGGGTGCCTTGGGCTGTGCCAGCCTGTGGTAACATCTAAAAAGTGCCATCTCCCAGCCCCTTATCATTGCACTTGTGCTGCTGGGCAGGAGCAGCTGCTCACCCTGTGCAGGTACTCTGTGCCAAGGGGCAAACCTGGCAGCCTCCAAGCCAGAGTGGAACTGGACTCAGTTTTAGCTGCCCAACCTAAAAGCCCTCATCCCCATTCTTTGCACAGAGCCATACAAATGCCTCCCTGCGCACAAGCTGGTGCCCAGAGGGACAAAGAGTGCTGCCAGCTCCTGCAATTGCTGGCGTTGCCTTGAAGCCCAAGGGCCTGGGAACTCGAGATTTTGATCAAAATGTCATTCTCCCAAAGTTGCAGAGTAAAGCCGGAGCATGCAGGAGAAAAGCTCGGAGGGCAGCGTGCCCCTCCTGCTCCCCTGAGAAGTGCCACGGCCACCACAGTGGAGGGATGCCACCTCCCATGGGCACGGGCAGGGCAGCACTCCGCTCTCACTGCAAGTGTATGTAACCATGATGCTCTGGGGACCGGGAACTGTGGGCTGAGCTGGGCTCTGATGTGGCCTTGATGTGGTCAGGGCCTTCTGGAAACCCCAGTGGAGGGGGGAGAATAGAGGCAAGGGTGTGTATTGTGCCCCTTGAAATCTTCTCTGCTGTGGGCCACCAAAGTCCCCCTCAGAGGCAGGGAGGGGCAGGAGACTGCTGCTGGTCGGTGACTCGCAGCATCCCTAAGCTGTGTCAGGCAATGCCAGCCACAGTGGCAGCAAAGCAAAGCCCCTCTGCACCCTTGGCAGTGACAACCCAGTGCCAAGACCCATGGGGCTTGACATACCACTGGGCGCTTGGGAGACCCCAGCGGGCTCCAGCACAAAGAGGCTGCCACTGCTGCACTGCCACTGCGTCCCCACGGGAGGGGACAGTGTGTGCTCTGCCATGGCATGAACCTACTGCCCACAATCCAAAGGGCAGCTTAGCCCTGCCCGGGTGGCCCAGACTTTGGCTGCATGGGAATGACTCACCTGCCTGTACACAGTCTTAGTGACACCTCCCGTGGGACCTGCCACGTCACTCTCCGTCCCTGCGGGTCAGAGGGGATGTGTGCTGTGGAGTCACCCCTCCGTCCTCCCAGGGCTACGTGGCTGGCAGGGCTCCCTTGGCAGGGACAAGCAGTAGCTAATGTCAAGGATGCAAAAGCCCTTTGTGAGCATCTTAATTCCCACTCTGGATTCCATGCCACAATGTTGGAGAACGGCTTGCAGAGAGCGAGGCCATAGCTCCCTGCAGGAGCTGGTCGGCCATAGCTCCCTGCAGAAGTTGGTCCCAGCCACCTGAGGTAAACAAAGGAAAGAACCCAGGGTACAGTTATGTAAACAAGGATGAAGACCCAAGGCTCAGTTGTGCTAGCGAGGATTGTTGTGAGAACACAGAGATAAGTTGGGGGCGCACTACGACCTTGGGGGGTGAAGAGAAAGCAGCCCTGGGAGAGAAGCAGGTTTACAGCTAGGAAGATGTTTATGCATACCAGAGGTGCCACAAGGGGCTGGTATATTATAATGTGACTTTTTAGATGTACCCAATGGCTGAGATATTATAATGTAGTTTTCTTAAATGTATCCAATAGAGTTGCAAGTAGTGTATTGTAGACTGCTTATATAAGGTGTGATCTCTTTCAATAAAGTTGAAGCTTCCTCCGCCCGCCGCACCACAAGATCTCCCTCACCTCAAGATTAGGTTTCCCCGAGTTCCACTGGGGGATGGTGAGTGCTTTGAGACCCTTTGCTGAAATGCAGGAATGAGGAGGTGGATGCCATGGCACTACAAACTCTGTATATGTTGAGGACCTGTTGGCTTGGCTGTCCCCTGCCCTTTGCAAAGGGACCCCACTATGTCTGCCAGGCTCCAAATGTTTGAATATGCTGCTAAAGCTGTTTGGAAGGAAAGCTGGAAAAGGTGACAGGCTGGGACTGAAATAGCTGTGACTGATCTAGGCCTCCACTGAAGATATTTGAATATCAAAGTATCGAGGGCACTGCACCCCCACTGCTGGCTCAGGGCTGCCTCCAGGTGTGCCTGCTTCTCCTCAGGGTGGGACCATCACTTGTGTCGCAGAGAAGTAGGCTTCGAAATAACTAAAGAGCACACCCTGCTTAGGGTTTGAGCTTGTCTGAGGCTGCATGGGTGAGGGTGGATCCTGCACCTCTCCATGTCCCTCAGCTGGGGCTCTTCCCCTGCATCCTATCTGTGTCACACTGCAGGGGACAGGGCTGCCCCAGCAGCAAGTCTGCAGTGGCACCAGTGGCTTTGCAGGCTGCCTTGGCGGTGCGGGCTCCATCCTTCTTGTGGTCCCTCTGCAGCCAGTGGTGTTTGCAAGGGTTTTGCTGTGTGTCCCGGGCTGTGGCAGCAGAGCTGAGTCCGTCCATGGGCCCCAGGTAGCAGGACAGATGGACCCAGCGAGTGCAGCTATGGATGCTCAGTCTTAATTTCTCTGCCAAGCAATCCCCCAGCATTCTCCTTTGACCCTGGAGCAAAATCCTCCCTCCACAGGAATGTTTTTCAGGGGGAGTTTGGCACAGCTCCAGGTGCTGAATTTTTCCATGCCCAGAGACCGTCTCCTGCCTTAAATGGCCCCATAACATGGGCTGCATCTGCTCTCCTGCATTCACGTATTTAAGGATTTTTTGGATTCAGTTCCCAGCATGGAGCGGGACACCAGCCCAGTGCCTCACAGTTGGGCTAAGCCCCATGGGGGGATTCTGGGGAACATGGGGCTGGTTGCCCTGGAGTCCCCTGCAGCAGCATGCCCAGGCACAGGGGAGTCCGGTGCTGCTCCAGCTCTGCCAAACATCTCTCCCTTCCCTGTGTGCAGGTCAGATTTCCTAGATCCAGGTCTGCATCCTGGTCCCAGGGGAACCTGGGCCACCAGCAGCACGTGAGCCAGCAGTGGCATCCCCTGTGCAGGTGACCTTGCTGTGGGCAGCCCATGCCACCAAGGGATGCTCCTGGGCCCTCGCAGGCACAGCTCTTGCCACAGCCTCACTGGCCAGACCCAGCTGGAGCTGCCCAGACCCCTGAGCCCTCCTGCTCTCTGCAGCATCTTCCACCACCCAGGAAGCCTCCCTGCAAGCTCAGGTGAGGGATGCTCTGTCCCATACAGGCTCAGCAGAGTCCCCACTGGCCCCAGCCATGTGCCACAGTGCAGCCAGGGCAGGGAGGATGCCACAATCCCTGCAGGTCTCCATCCCAAGGCCGGACAGTGTAGGAGCACCAGGAGCTCCTGGTGGGGATGTCACCAGTTTCTGGTGTCAAAGTTCCCTGTCCCAGGCAGGTCACTTCCAGAGCATGACCTGCCCTATGGAGAGAAGCCTGCCTCTGGGCACAAGGCAGGACCTTGCTGTAGACCCCATGGAGGCATTCCTGGGTGAACAGCCCCTGCCCAGGACTGAGAGGACCTAAATGGTGGTGAGTTGTAGTTCCCTCGTGGCAGCATCCTAGGGGCATGGGGGACAGGCTGGGCAAGACATGGGGGCTTGCAGGGGAGAACAAGGGTGGTGGGAAAGGAGCAGAGCAGCCAGAGGGAAACTAGTCCCCTCCCAAGCCATAAGCTGAGACGAGGAGGTACCAAGGCTGCTGGAGAAACCCAGCAATGCTGCTTAGGGCTGGGGAGAGCGGTCCAGGAAATTGGGATTGGGTCTGAGGAGCCTGGGCTGGACCAGCATCTGTCAGAGTAAGGTTTGGGATTTGCTGAGTGTGTTGCAGAGGAAGAAGAATGAGAAAGCTGCTGTGGATTTGGGTTGAGGAGCTGGGTTAGGAGAAATACGATGTGGAAAGGCACACACTTGTAGGGACGCAACCTCTGGAAGTCACAGCCTCTGGGGCCACTGAGAAACTGAGCTCCCTCAGTCCTGGCATTCCCCAGCAATCAGCAATCCTGGCATTCCTCAGCAATCAGGATTGGTGAAGCCCCATGGCAAAACACCCTCCTCACCACCCATGCTGAGCTCCAGGGAGAGGGATCAAGCCGGCCTGGCTGGAGTCCTGGCCAGCTCCAGGGCAGTGTGTCTGTAGGGTCCTGTTTTGTAGGGGAACGCCATGAAGGTCAAGCTGTCACCTAGTCAAGATGCTTTTGGTTTTTAATCTGTTTTAAAAAATAATCCCTAGGGAACTGCAGCCAAAAATGACGTCAGTGATGTGCTCTGCCAGCTGCAGGGTGTTCCAAGCTGGGACAAGTCCGAAGTTCAGCTGCCCAGGTAAGCTCAGCTCAACCTTCAGCCATATGTGGCACATCCCTAACACACAGACACAGGGAGGAAACCAGACCCTGGGGGCAAAACCCAAAGTCTGCCTGTAGGACCTGAGCGTGGGTTGTCATGGAAGCTGGAAGGTGAAAAATGCCTGAGATTTGGGAGTAAGGAGGGTCTTAGGGTTCACACAGGTGCCCCCAAGACCCAGCAGAGCAAGGCTGGGGCTCTGCAACAAAGCTTTGCCAAGTGGTTTCTGACTCTTGTTCCCCTTTGTTTAGCCCCAAATTTGAAGCGTGGGGATGGGACATGAAGTGCTGACCCAGCTCTGACACAATCATTGTTAAGGCATCAAGAGCTGCAGGTGGCAAAACACTGAGAAATCCAACTCCCTGGAGGGCAAAAACAATGTACCATTGGGAAGAGCTAGTACCCAGGGTGGTGGTTGCTGGAGCCATGTGCCAGCTCTCCAGTGCCAGCTTTCCATCGCCCTGAGCCTCGTAGAGCATCCCACTTCCCTCCCCTTGCAGCTCTGGGACACAGCATGAGAGGCACGAAGGGACCCAGTGTTTTATAACAAGGTTTTTACCATCTGCCCAGGGGATATGTTTGTTCTGTATCTGTGCAGGTGCAAAGCAAGCCAAAAATGGACAGAGACGGGGACAGGGATGAAACTGCACATGCAAATGGGTGAGCTGGGGAAAAATTCGGCACATACACGAGGTTTTAAATCAGCACTTTGGCTTGGTGCACTGTGAAAGGATCCTCCTCTGTGCTCACCTTCCCACTTGACTAGTAAAGAAGCACTAGTTCAAACACAGCATGGCCTCAGCCTGGAAACACAGCAGTTTCAGAGGAGATACGCACCCCAGGAGCCCTGCCTGCCCTGTTCCTGTGAACCTGGAGCCTCCAAGCAGGAGCCTTCGTGCTTGGGAAGAGCAGTGCCATTTCCGGGCTGAGGTGTGTTTTACACATGCAGTGCTTCTCTGCAATACTAGCTCATCCTACCCCAAAATACAGGGAAGAGGGTCCCCTGGGACCGGCCCTGCAGGACATGTATGTTCCCCTGCGAGCAAGTGGGTCCCCGAGGAGTGACACTCCCTGCTATCAGCCACCCCTTCACCCGCCTCCCTATTTTTAAATATCTGCCAGAGAGGGGACAGAGCCAGAGGAGGTGGAATTTAGTTTATTTTAGTACTCATCAAAAGGGGAAGCAGCTGAGCCCATGGCATTCTCTATGTGTTTCCAGCCAGCCCTTCTCATCTCTCACCCCCACCACTCTCATCTGACAGAGGTGCTGCTGCTCCTGCACAGGCTGTGCCGCCCTCCCAGCACACTCCCAGCACTGCTGTCACAGGGCCCTGACTGCCCTCTCAGCCTTGGGAGGTTTGATTTTGTGTTGAGAAAGCCACGGATGTACCATCCTGCTGAATCACGTGCCTGCGACATTGCCCACTTTGGCCTCAATTTGCATGGGGCCATGGAGGAAACCCAGCGCCGTGTTGCACTGGGTGCTTTCCCAGCCCTTTCACTTGCCCTCAGTGTTTATGGGCAACTTCAGCCCACACTGTCCTTCCAGAAATAAAGTCCCAAAAAGAATTACACCTCCATCACCAAGTTCTGCTGTTTCTTGGTTTCTGTAGCAATATTTGCTTTTTCTTTTTGCAGAGAGCTCAGTCGGAAGCTACCGGGAAGCACCAGGGGAATAGCAGGTGCCTACCACAGTGGTTCAACCCTTGGAAAGCCCCAGGTCCCAAACCACATTTCCATCATGCAAGTAAGAGGTGTCTCAGGTGCCAGCACTCTTTGGACTTTCCCTGCTCAGCTTCCCCAAGATGGCAAGAGCAGCTCCTCGGCTGCTGACCACGTTGTCTTCTCTGGCTGGCAGCGGGCAGTCATTTCTGCACCAGCATCACGGCACTGAGCTGAGACGCTGCTGAAGGTGGGTCCCTTCTTGAAGCTGCTTTCCATCTGTTCCCAAGCACCGGCTGTAGGAAAGGTGCTTTCTGTCATGAGGGGTCTCTCTGGTCCCAAAACAGGGCCAGGAGATGCTGCGGCTTCCTGATGCACCCTGCCTGGGCATCCCTGCTGGAACAATCATTTAGTCTGCTATATCTAGACAAAGCTAAAATTCAGATGAAACCACATGAATTGAGCATACCAAATACAGATGTTTTCAAAAGTGGAATTCCCATTTCAATTAATTTTCTTCATCTTACTTAAAGTTTTGACTTTTGGGTTTTGAGACACTAAAGAGATGGCTCATAGCCAGGCAGAGGAAATCTCTCTCTGGACCTGGCTGTGCCCCAAGAGAGCTGCGGGAGGGGTCTGAGCCTGCCACAGGTGGTCCTGGCCAGGGCTCAGTCAGTGCTGCTTTTGGAAGCCACAGGACTGTGCCGCCATATCCCATACTAGATTTCAAGTCTCTTTCATGCAGAATTGAGGCCAGCTGGCTGGAGATCAGAGCAGTCGCTCTCCTACACCAGGTCATGCAGCCCCTGCCAAGTGTCACTGTGTGCCATCGTCCCTGCCTGCCAAGAGGAGAGCTGCCTGCCTCGGCGCCATCGCACACTGTCGCACCAGCCTGCGTTAAGCAAACCTAACGAGGCTCTGTGCAGAGCAAGCGTTTGTGACCTGGCCCGCAGGCATCTGCAGTTCAATCGGCTGGTCACAGTGACCACAGTCACAGCCCAGCAGCCCAGCATGGCAGCGTCTGTGTGGGGGGATGTCTGGGGCCCGCAAACACAAGGCCCTCCCTGCAGGACAGCACAGCAGCCCCAGCCCAGCGATGGTGCCTGCTGCCTTGGCCCAGGGTAAAACCCTGCAGCAATCCTCCCCCCAAATCCTGTATCTCAGAGAGACTTAATTGAGTGACGAAAGAGCAATTATCAGTTCAGCTGGAGGCAGAGTTGCTCCTGTTTGGTTTTGCAAGGAAAATGATTCCAACTCCATTTTTTGCACAGTTTGTTTCCCCTCAGTGTGAGCTGCAAAAGACATAAAAGATAGTCAGGATTTTAAAAAAGTTTCAAACTGGTTTTCTGGATTCTCTCCTGCAAGTGGTTAATGGTTCATCTAAAGTCAGGGGAAGCTCTCTGAAGCAATCTTGCAATTTACAGCTTTTCCTTTACTAAATATGAAACGGTCAGGAAATTGAACAGGAAATTGTGTCTGGAAGGAACAAAAGTTGTGTTGTCAAAACCTGCTTACGAAAAATTTACTTTATTTTAACCAGTAAGGAGCCAAGATCAATAGTCAGAAGAGGAAGAAGTTTGTGTGAATTAAATCACACGTGAAAAAAAAAAAAAACACTTGGGAAAACAAGAAGCCTTTGTAAAGAGCAGATAGGGATGAATGGAGCAGAAGGCTTAGCACCTGCAGCAACCAAACACTGGAAAGTGCTGAAAGACAAAGGCCCAGGGTGTAACCCAAGGTCAGGTGTCTGTCCAGAGCACAAACCACTGCTCTATGGCCTCAGTGCCCAAATTTCTGGGAGGTACTCTACAGCCTGTACAACACTCTGAGGTCCATCTGAGTGTCTGAGTGTGATGGACAAACTTTGCCCTCTCACTGCACATGGTTTGCAGGTAAAGCAGCAGCACGTTTTCTTTCCTGCTGCTCAGAAACACCACACCAAGGTCACCCTTGGGTGGCCTCCTCCAGCACTCTCTATCCGGGGTGCCCCAGGTTTTATACTCTGTCAGCTGAGTGATGCTTGTACCACTGCCAGTGTGACCTGTTGTACTTTGCATGCTCACAGTGTTCTGCAGCTCTGCATCGAAACCAGAGACATGGCGAGTCCTCCCCGCCCAGGAGACACAGGTACATGCATCATCGGGTGACAGGGCTCACCCTCCATGGGAACTGCACCAGCCTGCTTCATCCTGGGATATGGCCAAGAGAAATTTGGCCAAGAAAAATCAAGACCCTGCTGCAAACGTGCAGCACTTTTTGAGAACCCCATGCAAATATTTGTTCCCAGATAACCCTACAGTGCATTGGGCTTTGGGTTAATTAGGGGTTCTAGTTGGGAAATTGGGTAATCTGTAATTTTTTTTAACCATTATACTGCTCATTTTATCAGTGCTTGAGAAACAAGCTTAGCAAGTGCCGGTATGCAGGTATGTCAGAGGCAATGAATTGAGACTTCTGTCTAGCTAATGGCACCAGGCTTTTTAGGTGGATGGTCATACCTGGTGGGGACTGACTCAAAGGGGCTTTTTCTCTGGGATCCTACCCAGTCACTGTAACGGTTCCCCTGAAATGATCAGTCCTCCATGACAGCTCCTTAGCTGTGTTTCGTCTAAGCTGTATGTGATTAATCCCCAGCTGGTAACAAGACCATAGTGTGTGGGAGCTGTGCCAGTCAAGAGCAGCTCAGCAGGGTTGAGCAAGTGTGGCTTCATAGCCTTCCCACCCCCCCACCCCCCCCCC